GTCTGAAGTACAGGACACTTCCCCACCCACACATGCCCCAGCACCCTGATTTTGGTCTCTAATACTAAGAACCAGAACTCATGAATCACAGTAAATCCAGTAACTTTGGGTAGGAGGAAAATCAAGATTGTTGCTTTCATGAGTGTCAGAGGAAGGACAACAACATTTAACAGACCACCATTGTTAGAGAGTATTAACTTCAGCATTAGTTAATAAGAAATACAGTGTAACTACTGCTTTACAGTAGCTGAAATCTGCAAACAGACATGAGTTTATTATGATATCAAAACAGAAAAGTTAAAATTAATATAGAAAGCATAAAACCAATAAAGAATGAATAAACATATAAAATAAATCATAAATTAAAAATTGATAAGGGATGAAATGTAGCCTATCACAGGAAACTTCCTTTCCTGATATTAGTAACACAAATATGATCGCATAGCCAGGTCTTTGTTAATTCTATAACATTCATGTAACCTCACAAAAAGCCAGGACCATCATTTGTGTGGGTGCAGCAGCAATAAGTGGACAAGTCACAGGAATGCTGAAAAAGTAGAAACTGGACCAAGAGCAGAAAAACTCAACCAACACCCCTGGTGACAGAGTAACTTGGCAGAAGAAAGCTCCAACTGCTGCTGAGCACAGACAAGACAAGCAGTGAGAAAGAGTGCCCCACAACATTGTCAACAATCAGGCCTTTGGAGAAACACAGCCACACAGACTCAGCCTATCCCCCTTCCAAGTGTACTAAGGGTCAGGTAAGACATAAATGAGTTTCCAAATATACTAAGTAATTAGGGCACAACAAGGAGGTGGGTACTGCCAGCTATACTAAACTAAAAGATACCCTCACTGCTGAGAAAGACTCCAAGTTTCAAGAAAATCAAATTACATCTATGAGAAAGAAATGATTGCAAGGGTCTCATGGCACACCACCTGAGACTCCACAGGGACATAGCCTGAAGACATGCAGATGAGACGGGAGGAGCCCTGGGTCCCCCACCCCCCAGCCCAGAGTCAAGCTGTGGACCCCAACCCACACGGGCCTGGGGGCTCAGCTGCTCTCAGACAGCTATTGCTTTCTCTCTTGGATTCAGTGAGATTCCTAAAACCCTTGAAAGATGCAAACACAGTAGTAAAATTACTTCATGCAAGGAAAACAATACTGAGAAGAAATAAATCATCCAAATGAATGTTATCTGCATCCCTACCCAAGATACTTGACTTTTTCTAACCAGTTTTAATGTAAGTGAAATAATTAAGAGTGTAATAAGTACAACATTATGGGCATATTGAAAACATTACAGGAATTGGATATATAGGAAATTCCCAGGTTACAAATGAGACAGGTTCTGTAGCTTTATTCTTAAGTTGAATTCATATGTAAGTTGAAACAGGTATATTTATTTACCCATTATCTGCAACAGCCTCTAGTTAATTGTGAGTTGCATGTCAGTCAGATGTTTGTAACTCAGGGACTGCCTGTATTAGATGCATGTTTTAATTAAATGTTCAGAAGTATCTGATACCCACACATTCACTGTTTAAATGTCTGGGGAATTGGGGAAATGTGTAAGCTTTCATTTCATACTCATTTTCAAGAAAGTGGGCTCTGAGATATCTTTAAAAATGTTGACTATTCAGGAAATACATTACAGTACTGAAACAGGGATTCCCAAAGTTCAAGTGGGGAGAAGGCCTTGCTGTGCAAGCACCTGGACATCCAAGTCCTATAGACAGGAACAAAAAGAGGCACTTGCTTTACCTGGGCCCTTTCCTGCCAAGGCAGGGCATTGATGTCCTGGGCAACAGGACAACCCACAGAATGGGAGAAAATATTTGCAAACTATCCATCTGACAAGGGATTAATAACCAAAATATCTAAGGAGCTCAAACACCTAAACAGCAAAAAGTCAAATCCAATTTTTAAAAATAAGCAAAACATTTGAACAGACATTTCTCATAGAAAGACATACAAATGGCCAACAGGTTTTTGAAAACATGCTCAACATAACCAGTCATCGCAAATTAAACCCTAATGAGATATTACCTCATTTAGTTAAAATGGCTCTTATCCAAAAAACAGGCAATAGCAAATGTTGGCAAGGATGGGGAGAAAAGGGAACCCTCATATCTTAATGCTTTGGTAGAAAAGCATCTAGTGGAGCCACTATAGATAACTGCACAGAGTTTCTTCAAAAAACAAAAAATACAACTATCATGTGATCCAACAATGCCATGGCTGAGTACAGATACAAAAGAAAAAAATCAGTATATTAAAAAAAATCTGTACTCTCATGTTTATTACAACACTATGCACAATAGTCAAGATAAAGAATCAACCTAAGTGCCCAACAACAGATAAATGCATTATAAAAATGTGGTAAATGTACACAATGGAATGCTATCAGCCATAAAAGAGTAAAGTTCTGTCATTTGCAGCAACATGGTTAGAACTGGAGGTCATTATGTTATGTGAAGTAAGCCAAGCACAGAAAGTCAAATATTTTACTCATGTAGAAGCCAAAAAAAGTGGATCTCATGAAGATCAAGAGTAAACTGCTGGTTACCAGGCCAAGAAGGGGAGGGAAGGGAGAATGCAGAGACGATGATGAATGGACACAAATACACAGTTTGACAGAAGGAGTAAGACCTAGTGTTTCATAGATCAGTACAGTGATTACAGTTTACAGTAATCTACTGTATATTCCAAAGCAGCTAGGAGAGAATTCCTAAGTTCCTAATATAAAGACAAATATTTAAGATGATGGATATCCCACCTACAGTGACTTGATCTTTAAAAATTATATAGTTGTATTAAATTATAACATATACCCTGAAAATATGTACATTATGTATCAATAAAAAAAATTAATAAAACAAGTACGTATTATAAAACCAACTGAGGTGCCTCATGTCACCACCAGATGGTGCCAGACAGGTGGAGTGAAGGGCCCAGAAAACGGCCCACAGGGAGTCCACCTCTGCCCAAAGCAACTTGGTAGTTACCATAATTCAGGGCCTTAATGTCCTCACCACATGAGGCACCAGTGGTCCTGGCAGTCATTCACACACATGCCCCAGAAGGCTCACCCAAGAACACGCAGGGTCACTGTGCTTGGACAGAGGCCACAACATGAGAACAGCCCTGCTGAATGCTCCCCCACTCCAGGAGCCCTGCTGGGAAAGCACATGCAGCTGTCCCAGGAAAAAGGCAGAGCCAGTGGTACAACCTGGAGGCAGCTCCCAGAGAGCCTGGCAAGTGAGGAGGGCACACTAAGAGACAGGTTTGGCTCCCCACAGAAGTGAGGGGGTTGTCACTGGGGTCAGAGGGCCACCCGTGGTCAGCAGCAAAACATCATTCCCACCTGTTCTGGGCCCCTTACAGGGTGGGGGAACAGCATGGTCATCCAGCATGGATCTCACATCCCCATGGATGGTGCTCAAAGGCCCCTCAGCTTCATTGGGAACACTGGAGTGTTTTGTAAGGACTGTGTGCTCAAATGTCACTCGTGTCATTAGAAACTAGTACAGATGAACAAACAGGTCCTCAAGAGCAGGCTGAAGGAGGATCCCAATGGGAGAGTGTGGGGGATGGGGCTGTGGATGGAAGAAGCATGGACTCCAGAGTTAGGGGTTGCGCATGGATGTAGCTTCCCTCAGGGGACATCAGGCAAGGTCTGCAGGAGTTTGGGGTTGTCACAGCGAGGATGGGGTATTCCAGGACTTCCCCCCACAACAAAGAGCCACCCAGCCCAAACCAGCAGTGTGGAGGCCAAGACACCCTTTTGTAGACACAGTGGCCAGGGACCCTCCCATGTTTGAGCAGCTTTGAGAAGGGCAGGGAGGGCAAGCCATGGTCCACCTTGGCCACCAGTCAAACCAACACCTGAGTCTGCAAGGCCACTCACCCTCCCAGCTACCCCATCCAGGGGGGCTCTGTCCCTATCAGACTAAGAGGAAACTGACACTCTGTCATCCAGGCTGGTCTTGAACTTAGGCCTCTGGACACCTGTGTGGCACCCCAGTCTGAACACAGTTGGGGCCTAGTTCCAGCACCTCACACTAACCAGTGCTCCCCAAAGGCAAGGAGGAAGGTTGCTCTTCACCATGCATCTAGTGGGCTGAGATTCTGGAACAACAGCCTGGGCCTGGCAGTGCAGCTGCAGGATCTGTGGGCTCCACCTCTCAGTTGCACAGGTGACCATTCAGTGGCAAGTCTCCGAAGCCTGACCCCAAGATTGGAATACCAGAACCTCCCCTTCCTAGATGTGTCAAATGAGGATATTATCTACTACATAGCGTTGTGAAGATTAAATGGAGTAATACGTTTCCATCACAGGGTACCTTGAAAGCTCTAATGTTTTAGATCAGTAATTCTTAAACTATGAAATAATACGAACCACCAGGAATACCCGCTAAAGACTAACAGGGCTGATCCCCACCTCCAGAGTGGGTTCAGAGGTGTGGGGTGGGGCTAGAGAATTTGCATTTTTAGGTGAACTCAAGGGTTTAAAAAGGTTGGGATCTTAGAGACTTATCCCTGCTTGGCACTCCCAGTAGGTTTTTTCCACCGGGAAGTTTTTACTGAGACCACCCGGGACCATTTGCTGAGCCAGAGGTAGGGATTAGCAGGGACTTCCAGCTAAGGCAGCAAAATTCCCGAGGGTGACGTAGGGCCATGGGAGGTCCTAGATGTCCAGACACCTGAGATGCCGAGGAGCGCGCCTGCGAGCCACCTATGAAGAAGGACTGGCCGGGTCCCCGGTGTCCTCTTCCCCTGCCCCTTCCTCTGGTCTTCCCTAGGCGTCACCCAATCCCGCCCAGGAACCCCAAGTGTACCTCCGTCAACTCAGGTCGCCCTAGGTTCCCCTCATCTTCTGCGCACCTGCTGCTCTGGCCCCTCCCGGGCGTGTCTCCCACACTTCAAGTGTCCCCCAGCGGGCGCCCGCTCCCTCCTGGGACCCCATACCCCTCCCCCCCACCGGTTTACTCACCTTGTGCGCGCTCCCAGCCTAGGGCACGCTCGGCGGCGTGACGGGGTCTCCGCTCCCCTCCGCCCCAAGCTGACCCGACCTTCCGACCCGGCCCCTGCCCGGCGAAGGCTGTAGCGAAAAAAGACCCAAGCTCCGGGTACCGCGCAGCCCCGCGAGGAAGCGGGAAACTAGGTCCCCACCCGCCCGGGCGCCGCCCCCGCTGGGTCCCGCCCTTTGCGTCACAGAAGGAGGAGGGACTGGGCGGGGCAGGGGCGGAGGCGGGAGAAGGGGCGGTGGCAGCGGGGTACCCTGGGAATCCGGGTGTCTGGGCTGAACAGGGGCCGGGCGAGAGACTGCGCAGGATGAGGAGGCCTCAGACACCGCCAGCCCCTGGCTCACAGTCCAACCCGCTGCCGCTGGCGCTCTGGGGTCACTTTGTGATCCCTAGTGATACAGGACAGGTGGCGTCCCAGCTAGCTTAGCCGAGCTGAGCTGAAGGACCCACCGCCTCGTCCTCGGAGGTGTTGGTGCGGCTGGCAGCCAGCAGAGGAACCAGCGGGCTGGAGGGTAGGCAAGAGGGGCGCCTCTCACCCCCACCGTAGACTCTAATAGCCAGAGGGGCTGAACAACTGCAGGGGAGACACAGGCGCCTTGGTGTCTCCTTCCCCTTGCACTTATGACTGAGCAGGGAACCCCCATTTCCTGTGCCCAGGTCAATTTCATGTAAGTTTCCTAGGCCTCTATTCCATGAATGTGTCCATTTATTAATGCATCATTCACCTTGCCCCAGTGGAAGGAACTGTGCCTGTTCATTTCCTGGCTTCCTGTACAAGGAACCCATTGCACCTATACATATCCCTAGACAAAGAGCCCAGTGAGAGAGACAGAGAGCTTTTCTTTCCTGACTTGGGTTTTCCTCTCCCTGCTGGAGATTTGGTATTTTTATATTCTTTTCTGTAAATAAATCCTATCTTACCACTGATCTGTGGTCCTCGGATTTATTCTTTGAATCAGGGAGACCAAGAACCCACTGAAGACGAAATTCCAGTATCGCTAGGGTGGAGCTCCAGACAAAGGTGTCCTGCGGGTCTGAGGCCCTTCAGCCCTGGAGGTCAGTACTGTGCCAGGGGGTTGGCCTTACTAAACTTTCTATAGAAATGGCCAGGGGATAAAGTAGAGAGAGCAGGCAAACCGTTTCCCCATACCTCCCAAGCCAGTTTCTCTCTGGGTCTGCATTTTGTCTTTTTTTTTTTTAAGAAATGTATGTGTGTGACCCCACACACTCTTGTTTTAGTTTTCCTTTTGCTTTCTTTTGAATTTCATTTCTTTTCTTTTCTTCTTTTTTTTTTTTTTTTTTTTTTGAGACAGAGTCTCACTTTGTCGCCCCCTGGCAGAGTGCAGAGGCCTCATAGCTCACAGCAACCTCAGACTCTTGGGCTCAAGTAATTTTCTTGCCTTAGCCTCCCAAGTATGACTGGCTGTTCTTTGGAGACAGGGATCTCCCTCTTACTCAGGCTGGTCTGGAACTCCTAAACTCAGGCAGTCCACCCATGGCCTCAGCCTCCCAGAGTGCTGGGATTACAGGTGTGAGCCACTGTGCCCAGCCTGGAGTAATATCAGCAGATATGTTTCACTTGAAAGTATGTTTAATCCATAAGGTCTATTTTTTAAACATTACCCTATTATTACCACACCTAGAAAAATTGGCAATTCTCAGTCCTCTTAAGTGATTTTCTGTGGTTAACTCAAAAATGTCTTTTGATAGTTGTGTTCAATATAGGCCCCAAAGAGAAGTGGGAATCTGAGAGGGAGTGGCCTCAGGCAAAGTTCACCTTTATCCTCCTGGCCTGCCAGGCCTATTGACAGCAACAGTATCCTCTGATGAGGGGCGCTGGGTGCAGATGTAGACCCACAAAACTCAGTGAAACACTTATGATACTCTTTCAACAAATGACGACTGTTAGACCTAGAGATATTCTGCAGGTGCTCACACTCACCCTATCCTGCTTTTCTTTGAACATACAGCCCTATTCACCATCTGGTTTCAGTACCTCCAGGCACAGCCCCTGGCCTTCAGGGTCTGCCCTCCCTGTGGATGCATCGTTTCATCCACTAGTAATGCTGCCTTCAACTTTCTACACCCTGACCCAGCTGTCTGAGGCCTGGGAATTCCCAGTGGCTCTGTTAGGACTCAGAATCCCATACACCTAAATATAGCATTTTAACATACTGAACTAAAGACACTTCAAGTTCCCTTCATCCTACCCTTCTGGCTCCCACCATCTTTCCCAAAGCACAGGTTAGTTTGCTCTGAAGTTCCTTATCTCCCAAAAGTCTAGACCTACTAAAGAAGAAAATGACCACCAGTCTCTTCCCTGAGTTTCTGTTAACTGATCTCACACATATCACAGGAAGGAGGACTAAAGTATCTCAACAAGTCTAAATAGACTTGTCACAAACCATTGTCCACTCCACAGGCCCAACAGACTTTGCCCCAGTCCACTGCATGTTCTTCAAGCCCATTGAAGTCTCCCTGGTGACCATTTACTGCCCCTCAGCAGAATTACTGACCTGTTTTGCCAGGTCCCAGGCCCCCCTTCTCTCTGTAACCTCAAGATGGTATATAAGTTTCTGCACCACACTGGAGGGTTAGGTCTTCATTCTGAAGACTTCCCGGCTGGGGTTAGAGCTGGTGATTAAGGCTGGTGATTAGGGATGGGCTATTGCTGGGCCTTGGTCTTGGGTGTTGGCTATGGCTGGGGCTAGAGATTGGCTATGGCTAGGGATTAGCGCTAGTGATTAGGGATGGGCTACTGCTAAGGCACTGCTAGTGTGTGCATTTTGGCTAGTGCTAGGTATTAGGGGTAGAAATTAAACATTAAGTGTGTACCCATTAAGTAAATTTGTGTCTTTTCTCCAATGAATCTGCCTTTTACAAGTTGATTTTGCAGCGCCCCTGCAGGATCCATGATGTGCACCTCTGCTTTCACTCCCTGGGTTCTGCCTGTGCCCTGCAGATACTTGCCTAATGCTGGGGCCCCACCCACAAAAAAGTGACCATTAGACAAGGATCCAAATACAAATAGTTCATTTAGGAGATAATACAAGAAAACACTGGTAGAGGGGTGAGAAAGTGAGACAGGAGAGGAAGACAGCCCGTCCAGTTTCGTTATCAAGCTAGTTACCACCAGAGGCACCTGGAAGTTCAGTCCCACTGGTGACCTCTGGGAGACATCCCACCTGAAGGAGAGCAAGCTGGGGTGTTTACATGGCAACTCCTGTCTGTGTTTGGATGTGGGGTGCTTTGGGGGTTCATGAGTCCTCTGGTCCTTTGAAATTGGCTGCAGTGAAAACACACACACAATCACTGCAGGTACTGACAGCTGGGAGTCTAGCAGGTGTGCCAGAGGCTGGACAGCCAGGGCAATGGACAGGGCACTGGCAAGGACCTCTACAGCATTCAAGGACATTTGCTGATAGGAGGAATAAATGAGAAGGGGCTATAATTGAGAGTGAAAGTATGAATTCACTCTGGGTGCTCTGTGCTTTCTGAGGGTCATTGCTATCCCTCAGAATAAGCCTGTAGGTGGATTTCTGCATTGCCCTGATATGGATAAGGAAATTAAGGCTCTACTAAAGAGTTATTCCATTTCCCCAAGGCCACACAGCCTTGAAAAACAGAGTGGGCTTCAAACTCTGTTCTGACTGAGCCTAAAAATGATACTTCCCATTATATTAGGCTGCCTCTTTTGAAGAAGCCAAGCCAGTGAATGAATTAACATGGAAAAAGAGGGATATGATTAATCCAGTTCCAGTTAAAAGATGACTATTTAATGGATTATAACAAATCCATTAAATTTGATATTATAAACAAATATATATATATAAATTATTATGGTAAAATTCTAAGAAATGAGATCTCTGATTTTCTAAAGATATTCCAAGGCCATGTGAAGCCCCTCAGCACCCCCCTTCTATGCTGGATAATGCAGAGCTGGTTTAGGGCTCTCCCCACAGCCTGTCTACTTACAGTGCAAAGGCTTCACTGTGGTACATGTGAGGAAGCAGTCTGTCATTACTGTTTGTCCTGCCGCATAAGTGGGCACTAGCCCAGAGCTCCACAAGAGGAAACTGACTGGGTCTCAGGGTAGGCCAGGCCCTTATTGTTCACCCCTCCCCCCACACTCCAGGGGTCTACAACCCCTCTCCAAGGCCTACACCACCTTTGTGCATCCTGGCTAAGAGCTACCAGGAAGGAAGACAACAATGTCATTAGGAGCCCATCTTCAGTCTCCAAAACCATGAGCAAGAACAAAACTTAGAGCTCCCATGAAAGTAATCCCTGATATCACAGAGTTACCATGACAGGCCCAGCAGCTCACATGAAAGTGGTCCCTAATATCAGAGTTACCATGACATGTCCCAGGAGCAGGAAGAGTACAATTCCTGTTCTTAGATAGGACACTAAGGCGTGCCTACCACTAAGTGCCTAGCAGTGAAGGCTAGGGACAAGCTTCCTCTGTTAGAAGACCTCCTGCAATGGGACCTGGAAGACTTCCCCACCCCCAATTACCTGAAGCAGGAGGGTTACAGACCCTCTGCTGGGTTCTCCTTGGTGCTAGGAATGTCCCTAGCAATTGGTCCAGCTTCCAGGGCCCTGCACAGCCTGTCCTACAAGTGATAAGGACAAACACTTCCTGTGTGTGTCCAAAAATTGCTGGCCTGGCTACCTGAACCCCTCAGGACAGCACCCCCAGGTGGTTGGGAATCCCCTCAGAGCACTGACTTTGCCCCCAAGAATAGGGTTAGCTGACTTTACCTGGAGCAGCTGGCAGAGGGGAAGAGATTTAGAGTCAGCCACAGTCCCCCAGCCAACCCTCCCCTGTGGGCCTGAAAGTCTGGGTGCAGCCTATCTCCTCACTAGGCATGCAGCTCCTTCTACCAGGAGGTAGACCTGGGCCACGTCCATGTTTTGAGTCTAGTAGTATCTAAAGAAATGGTGTATTTCAAACGTTTACAAGGAACACATCAATGCTTAAAACAACATGTAATACAATGTGCTAGTATTAGATCATTGCAGGATTTATTAAAACGTGACAATTTAGGGGGAGGGGCAAGATGGCTGACAGGAACCAGCCTCTAACAGAAACTC